GGGATAAACCCGGGAATTGTTGGGATAAACCCGGGAATCGCTGGGATAAACCCGGGAATTGTTGGGATAAACCCGGGAATTGTTGGGATAAACCCGGGAACTGTCGGGATAAACCCGGGAATCGCCGGGATAAACTCGGGAATTGTTGGGATAAACCTGGGAATTGTTGGGATAAACCTGGGAATTGTTGGGATAAACCCGGGAATCGCTGGAATAAACCCGGGAATTGTTGGGATAAACCTGGGAACTGCCGGAATAAACCCGGGAATTGCTGGTTTTTTGGGAATCTGCGGGCTTTTCATTCCCAGCACGGATCCCAAATCCCAGTCCCCATCCCTTTATTCCCACAACATTCCCAAATCCTGGTCCCCGTTCCCTGCATCCCCACAGCACGCGCGAATTCCCGGGACACAATTCCCGAATCCCGGGACTCCGTTTCCTGTGGGATTCATTCCCGAATTCCCGGGACACAATTCCCGAATCCCGGGACTCCATTCCCTGTGGGATTCATTCCCGAGTTCCCGGGACACAATTCCCGAATCCCGGTCCCCCCTCTCCTTTATCCCCGCAGCATTCCCGAATCCCGGGACACAATTCCCGAATTCCCGGAGCTCCGTTCCCCGCGGGATTCACTCCCGAATCCCGGGCCACCTTTCCCTCTGTCCTATCGCCATTCCCGGTATCCCGGTCCACATTCCCCGTGGCATTCCCGGTATCCCGGTCCCCATTCCCGACATCCCAAACCCTCCGGAACTCCGGAGCGTCCTCCGAGGCAGAAGGTGCAGATCTGCCGGGGCCGGGAATCCCGGGATTCCCAAATCCCCGTTCCCAGTATCCTGCTCCCCATTCCCGCTATCCCCCCGGTGTTCCCGGTATTCCCGGTATTCCCGGCGCCACTCACCATCCTGCGCTGGTTGCTGAGGCAGAAGGTGCAGATCTGCCGGGGCCGGGAATCCCGGGATTCCCAAATCCCCGTTCCCGCTATCCTGCTCCCCATTCCCACTATCCCCCCGGTATTCCCGGTATTCCCGGTACCCATTCCCGGTGTTCCCGGCGCCACTCACCATCCTGCGCTGGTTGCTGAGGCAGAAGGTGCAGATCTGCCGGGGCTGGGAATCCC